CAGGGAACATAAATTAGTTGCAAAACACTTTCAGTAAAGGAATTAGACTGCCAATAGGGAACAGATCAAAGAGGTTGCTCCCAGGTTCTGTAATACAGCACTGGTGCACTAGGTCCAGGAGGGAAAAGGGTAAAGTTGTCATGTTTCCACAGGGAGTCAGAAGATTCCCCAGGCACACATTGCAAAAAGGAATGAGAACAGGTATGTTTGGTGATGTGCCTGTCACTGAAGTGCACCATGAGGGATTATACAAAGGTTAATAGTTTTGCTGGTGTCTTTATTTAAGGGTTTTGGCCCACAGAACACTGCAATGGGTAGAGGGTTAGAAAGATGAGGATTAGGAGCCATGCTGATGTAGGTTTATCTTCAGGGCAGTGCTATCTGATGAAACCTGGAAGCCTCCTCTATTCGTTCTCCTCTTCCGGCAGGTCTTCCATTATCCGTAGTTTTGCCTCTTTGCTGCCTACATTCCTTCTCCTTGTAGAGACTGCAACTGTAAGCCCTGTCATGAAGAGATGCAATTCTGCAAGATTATAAGGAGCCATATAAGTATAGCCTGAGTTTTCAAAGCAAGGACACTTTGCTAAGGAAAAGCTACTGGGTACTACAGCAACAATGTTGCACCTGCAAGAATTACAGAGCATAAATAGTCATTCAGTGTGGACAATATTCAGTGAGAGGTCAAATCATCCAGCTGTGAGTGGGATAAGACTGTTGCATTTTGAACTATGAGAAAATTTGACCTTCCTGCAGAGTACCCTCTCTCTGCAACTCATTTTAGCAAAGTGGGTGTGCTGAAAACCCACTTAAAGTCATGTTTACCACTTGGGACGGGTCCCTGAAGGGGATTTCCTTGGAATCTATACTTCCTCTGCTGCAGAGGGAATTCAGCTAATTGCAACAGTACCAACAGCTTCTGTGGTTGCAGAATAACCTCAGAATCAGAATATTATTTTGGACAATCCATGACTTTCCTTTTTCATGAATAATACTTAGCCAAAGTACTTTAAAGTTAACCTTCTGCAAAGTTTTCATTTATTTGTTTCTCCTTAGACAAGGGTAGGTAGAACTATGTTTGCATAACCAAACATTTTGCCAATAATCTTTGATTTTTTTTGTTTGAATAATTCTTTTTGGCAAGAAGTCAGATATTTGTTGGTTGACTTGTTCTTCATACTGAACCTGCACAGTCTAAGACTTATAGGTCTTTTTAATCAATTTTTAAAGGGCTGTTATTGCATACCTCGAGAGCAGGTGTACTTGCACCCAGGTCTCCTGGCCCAGAGTTAGGGGCAGTACCACTGTGTCACAGGACGCCTTCTAAGGAATGTGTAATTAGCCAAATCACCAATTCGGTTCACTTTAAATATGGAACCTCCCTCCATCAACAGTGTTCTTCCAAACGTGCTAGCTCTTAGAATGTAGAAGGATGAGGGCAACAGATACATGAGAACACAACCACCTCGAATTTCACCTCTTAAACCACTCACCATCCTGACTTGAAAATATGTTGCCTTTCCTTCAATGTTGCTGCGTGAAAATCCTGGAACTCCCTCTTTAACAGCACTATGGATGTCTCTAAGCCCCAAGAACTTTAGTGGTTCAAGAAGGCAGCTTACTGCCATCTTCACAGTGGCATTTAGGGATGTGTAATAAATGCTGGCCCAGTTGGCAACACCCGCATCCTGCAAAAAAAATTAAAATTCTGCAGTTGCAAAAAGAAAGTCAACAGTACCACATCTGAAAGCCCCATATACCGGTGGTTTTAACCAGCAGTGGAGGCTGTGGGGGAGGGATGTTCATCATGCAACTGAATGCATCTTTTGCAGGGAATGTTTAACAGAAGGTGTTGACTGGACCCATCTTGGACACCGATAGACATTGTCAACTGCCCCCACTGCATAGTTTCAGTGTGTGCATGTCAAGCTGCTTCAGCACCTTGGAAGCATGGTACAATTCACAGGCCTTGCCAGAGAGCAGCTTGCCACCATTTTAAGTCTCATGGATGCTACGGTGCTGAGTTTTGCAAAATCTTCTTTTCCAAAGCATAACTCAACTTCCAATTCCTCCTACAAAATTGCATCAATCACATTCACTGTACATGAAATATATTTGCCAATTACACACTCGTTCTGCAAATGTATCAATGTTAGCTTGTATTTTATCACAGACCACCTCAGTATAAATTGTATCTATGGCTACCCTTCAGTAAAATTAGTGCCCCCAGCAAATCTTGAAATGTTAATTATGATTCCCAATGCAAACTCTCTATTGTCTACTGTTATTTCTTTTATTATTTTTCCCCACCAATATTAAATGTTAATTGTAGAACATTAAAAAAAGCAGACAAAGCTAAAATGTCCTTGGATCTAAAGAGCCATCAGGCTGCTGGGGTGCATTTCAGTGTTAACCAGACAGTTCAGGGTTGTCCAAGCTTTTCGAACATTGAAAATGGAAAGTCGGTGAGAATGATGCTACCAAAACCTTCCCACCATAAGTGGCATTTGAAGGATGCGATGGACAAGATTTAAACTTGTGATATTGATACAGAGGACGAATAATGCACAGTGTGCAATATAAAGCCTAATGTCTCCAACAAGTTAAATGTCTCACAGATATGGACACAAGAAATAGGAGTAAGTAATTTCCTGGAGCCTGCTGGTCTTGTTAGATTTGCACTTAGGTCCACTTTTCTGTTTGCCCTCAATAATCTTTCATTCCCTTGTCTATAAAAAATCTCTCAAATTCAACCCCAACCCCAATTGTTCATAAAGGAAGAGAATTCAAAACACCAATGACTGCTCCCCCCACCAAATCTTAGAGAAGAAATTCCTCCCCACCTCTCTCTCAAATGTGGAGATCCCTTATTTTGAAACTGTGCTCCCAGTTCAAGATTCTCTCAAAAGGGGGAGGCAGTAGCCTCGTGGTATTATTGCTGGACTGTTAATCCAGAGACGCAGACAATGTTCTGGGGACCTGGATTTGAATCCTGCCACGGCAGATGGTGGAATTTGAATTCAATAAGTATCTGGAATTAAGAATGTAGTGATGACCATGAGTCCATTGCTGATTATCAGGAAACCCCATCTGGTTCACTAATATCCTTTTGGGATAGAAACTGCCATCCTTACCTGGTCTGGCCTACATGTGACTTCTGACCCACAGCAGTGTGGTTGACTCTTAACTGCAATTAGGGGTGGGCACTAAATGCTGCCTAGCCAGCGACACCCTCATCCCATGAATGAATAAAGGAAAAGAAAAACAAACGCTCAGCAACTGCATGCAGATGAATGTAGCTCCTACAGAACACAAATCAATAACCTTTCCTGCACCTACTGGTGCCATGTTCCATTGTGTTGCTTAATGTCTGACATAGGTTATGGTTCCAGTTGGCATACACCTTCATGAGTATCAACTGTTACAATCTCCATAGAGACCAAAATCCTGAAAAGAAATGAATCCCTAAACAACTCTGACAAAAGGAATTGATGGACTAGATTTCATTTTTAAAGGCTTTTAAATTAACAGTTGAATTCAAAATCAACATAAAATTAGGCATGCATTAACAGATGAATAGAGTTTCATTGGGAACGATAGATTTCACTTTAACTAGATAATACAATAGATATGGCACACACAATTGCAAGACCTCCCCCACAGTATGTGAGGTATGATGTAGCTGTGCAGATTCATAATATGCTGTTTCTTCATTCATCTGGTGGGGAAAGGTGGAGCGGTGGTGATGGTTAGCGGTTAGAAGTCTGACAAAAGCCTTTGCAAACATAATTATCTTTGGCAAGATACATTTTTATGACCCGGGTGTGCCTCAGGTCATAGCAGTCCTGATAAATATGGCTTTCCAGAGATCCTCTTCAACCGACCAACCGATAACATTCTGTTTCAAAGATTGGCCACTTCTAGTGACAACACCCAGCCCTCAGTTCATCGAGCTACACTGAGCTTTCCAACTTTCAGACTTTTCTCCAGCCAGCTTGTACATTGTCTCCTTCAATGCCAAACAGGAATCCTGACCTCTTTTGAGACAGATTTGCTTCTTCTCCTCACAAGAATTCAATATGTTCTGGTACTGACTGTAAACTGTAACCCAAACCTCCCACTTAGTTTCTGTTTTTTATTTTTAAAAAAATACAGCTTTCATTCCCATAGCAATGTCAGCCAGAGTTTAACCTCTTAGAAGTGGTGTCATAACCGAGTAATCCAACTATCCCTCTTTACAGAACTCTCTTTAGTATTGCTTTGATTTAAAAGGACATCTCAAAAACACAAGCTTATTTTTGTGAAATGCAGTGTTCACCACCCTGAGACAAACCTGTTCCATCTATGATGTCGCCACTTTCTTCTCCAGTGAAATCATGAATGCAGAACATATCCCAAAATACAACATCCTCAAGCCTGGGGCTGTGACTCACCATGGACTCCAGTCTGTAACCAGGAGCTGGGAAATCTGGTTAATGATGAAGAATGGTTGACGGACATGGGCAGATATTTGTAACTCAGTGGAAGGATGCATTTAACGGTTTGTTGATAACTTCTACGAGTATTTTGTTGCCACTTGCACCGTCAAAATGCTGATAGCAAACTGATTGCTGTTGTTGCTTGACCTCCTCCACTAATGTTTTCCTTCTTTCAAAATTCTGCCTCTTGCAACCACAGACAAATGCACTGTTCCTTGAATGGTGTTGGCAGGCTGCCCAAGAGCAGTCAAGGAGGAGACGCATGCATGAGGACCAAATTCAGACAGGGAATGCATAAGGGACTTGGGTGCCATTCTAATTTGGTTGCAAATGCATGTTTTAAGAATTATTTTCCTTGCTACGTATGAGCTGACCAATGAAGTTGGACAATGCAACTCTCTGCCTACCTGACCTCATAATCATTGCTGTGTTGCATCACGGGCAATGTCAAAGTTGCCTTCAGGGGTAACCAGCAGCATCATGAATGCCTCAGTGTGATACTGGCCTGATAGAGAATCCGACAAAATGCTGAAAGTGGACCAGATCATGAGCCCAATGAAGATGAGCCTGGTGGACGTCAGTAAGATCTTCTCGATGCTTCAGCCCCGAAATCAAGATGACAATGTGGAAGTCAATCAGATCAATCAAGCCATCTCCAAAGATGATGCCGCGCTTTTGTCTGAGCTGTTGTCCCAGGAGAGGTACGTCCAGTTCATCAACAATCGGAGTGGCTGGGGGGTGCCGGGCACTCCCTTGCGTTTGGCAGCCTCCAAAGGCCACCTGAGCTGCCTGGAGGTCCTCCTGAGGTATGGCGCCGAGGTGGACAGTTTAGACGTGAAAGCCCAGACCCCTCTGTTCACAGCTGTGAGCGGTAGGCACTTGCAGTGCGTCCAGGCTCTTCTCAGGGCAGGGGCCAACCCAAATGGGAGCGTCTACAACAACTGCTCGCCTGTCCTAACTGCTGCCAGAGAGGGAGATGTGGACATTTTGCAAGCGCTGCTGGAGCATGGGGCTGAAGTCAACGTGCGCTCCAAGGTGCCAGAGTGGGCATCGAATGCATGTGCCTGCAGCGGCCCACTCTACCTGGCTTCAGTCTACAGGCACTACGACTGCTTCCGGCTGCTCCTCCTATACGGGGCTGACCCCGATTTCAACTGCACGGAGCAAAGACTCCTAGCAAAGATCAAACAACCAAAGACGGTAATGGAAATGTGCCTCAGGTACGGCTGTGGGCCTCAGTACATCCAGCTGCTTATAGACTTTGGAGCAAACCTTTACCTGCCAGGCCACAGCCCTGTGAAAAATACACAGCAGAACAAAGCTGCTGAGCTCCTAGCTGGAGCCACAGGTGAGAGACTCAGAGCCAAGCATTACCTCAGAGGTGGAGGGGTTTGGGGAGTTGGGGGGGGGCGGGGGTGGAGGTGGGTTCTGTTCTGAAGTTGGGTAAAACTGAAGGGGTGAGTTTCCCCCGAAGGGCTTGCAAAAGCAAAGTGCATAGGGGAGCTTAACTGCATACGATGGCAAAATTCAGAATCCTGACGGGAAAACGAAGATGTGCCGCAAAAGTTCTTGGAACTTTAAAGTGGGCAGGCACACTCTTGCATCTCGTTCATTCCCGCTAAAAGGTCAGTCACCAGAATTTATTCCCCCCTGCCAATTACATTCTGCAACTGTGTGCCACACGTGCTACCAGGCTCACTACTACATAACAGAGGCATGCGAGGCCGTCATCTTCCTGGAAATTGGGGTGAGTAGTTGCTGCTTTTTCCTCAATGGGGAGCCCTCGTCCATGTTCTGCCATGATTGAATGTCAGTAACCTGAGTTGCACAGGTCACAGAGGATGACTGGGGGAGGAGGAGTGAACTCTATTCGGTGCAAGGAGGCTGAGTGTCTAAGGGTGGAAGGGTCACTACAGAAGAGTGGAAGGGTCACCTATGAATGTGAGTGGTGCAACTATAGTATTGAAGGGGTTTCACAGGCAGGGATGGTGTTGACTCCCGTGCCTAAAGGGCTGGATGAATCGTATCAATATTAGGGTGTTGAGGGAACTTGGGAGTGCAGAGATAGTGTCAGAGGCAGTGCTATATTGTATGGTGCAGCTCCACAGTCATGGGCAGGCAGTAAATGGTCTCATGGATCAGTTCATTGCTGAAGGAGAAAGTGGCCCCAATGTTGAGAGAACTAAGGGTCTAGCATGAGGAGAATGATGATTCAGGGAAGAGTGCAAGCAGACGGATGACTAATGTACTGGCGTCCAATAATGTGAGGGCCTCTCGAAGATGACTGAGAGGATGTTGATCCTAACGTGGGACTGGTCAAGGATAATGGGGCAGGGTGTTGGTGAATGGTCTTCCGAAAGTGATGAGCACCACCTTCACTTGTCCCCAGCTCAGAATGTAGCTCGTGGTCGGGGTGTTGTTGTTGTAGGTGGGAGGAACTGCAGTTGCACTCGATCGGCTGACTAAAGACAAACCCATGGCATAATGTGCCAACCCACCCTCAGGGTGTTGGTGTCCTCTCTAAGGAGAAGACCACAGAGCAACAGGTGTGCTCTCTGCTTCAGGAGTCTCATGGTATTCAGGTCTTAGCAAGCCGCAGTGAAACCCCTGACCTAAAGGATATCCGTTGTTTTCTGAGGCAGGGACTGACGAGCTGAACAGATCCAACCTGGCCCTTGGTTCACATCTATGAGAAAAGAGACTGGAGCAAACAAATTCTACACTCTGACTAGCTACAGTACAGTCACTAATCTAGTATAGGGCCACTTCCTGTTGGATCTGTGACATCTCTGGGAGTTGGAGCAGGATTGGGAAACATCATAGGCTTCACTGATGCTTCTGGTTTGCATTGAATGATAGCTTGGCTGAGTGCCCTTTAACTATGTTGCCAGGACCTTCAACCCCAAGAGGTAACCGCAGGGGTTAGCGAGGCAAGAATTTCTTATCAACACGCCCCATAAGGTCACTGTTGTCCTCACACACCATGTATATGAAATGAGCTGTGAACCACAAAAACCAACTGAGAGGACCAATCTGCTCCCACATGGCAGTGACTCCCACTTCCATGCCTGACTTTAGATTGCATTAGATTTCATGCAGAGACATCTAGTGAAGCAAGGCTTCTATAAGGTCTGCTGACATCTGTACCTCAGTAAGGGATAGAACCATCAGGAGACTGGAAAAGGAACATTAGGAGAATCTCATCTACTTCCTAATGAAACTACACTCTTATGCTGGTCAGTCAATGGCCAAATAGCCTCCTCAGGGCATAGTCTACTCACTTAGTACCGTACATTTGATTTTTCCCAGCTCAGCCAAGATCGTTGATGTCACTCACCAGAATGGCCATCCGCAAATCGCTCAAACTCCTAAGTGGGCTACATTCCATTGACGAACTGGACATACCGCTAATCCTGAGGAAGTATTTGAAGCACCAGACTTGAGGTGTACAAACAGCAAGGTTGTGTGGATCTGTGTAAGTAGGTACACACTCACTACTCCCCTTCCCTACCTTGCAGCAAAGAGAAGGGAGAGCCAACTGTACTAGCAGCAAGACTCCATCACCAGCGCAATCCTTTTGTACTCCTGCAGCTTCGTTGTAATTGGCCCAAGCATCTGATTACAAGTAGAATTCCAGAATCCACTCTATGTAGTAAGTTATTCCATAAGTCATAGTAAAGGAAGATGTACAAAAAAATGCTGTATTCGCACCATAAATTTCAAAAAGCTTTGAAAGAAAGTTAATTGCTCATGAGGGCATTGCTCAAAGTCATTTTATTTTCTGCACACAAGAAGGCATCAAAGTGGGACAGTCACTTCAAGCAGTCTCTCCACTGTGCCACCTAACGGCCAGAGCCTGCAACTACACCGTGACTGTTGACATGAAAAAATTTGTATGTGACATTTTGATGCAGCAATTGTAAATGGCAAATGTAAAGATAAAAGTGCAACCAAAACGTTGTGACAGAGGGGAGTTTGTGGACTGTAGCATGATTTTTAAAATGTCAGGATCTAAGGTATAATTTTTAGAGAAAGTGGGAGCATTTTCCAATAATTGCCATTGATGCTAATTTAGAAATCCTTTCAAACGAAATATCTGACTGATCTATGTAATGAGAAAGCGGGAAAGAATTAGGTTTTATTGTCACGTGTGTTCAAGTACAGGAGTACAGTGAAAAGTGTACAAAGTCACCCATTCTCTGGCACCATCTTAGGTACAAAATTCCAAATTAAAAAAACACAACCATAGATACAAAAACAAAAAAAAATCTAAGATATAAAAACCAGAACTTAAAATAAAGAAAGCAGAAATACAATTTAAAAACAGATCCAAGAAGCAAGATGGAAGCATCCAGATCTGAAAGTCTTATCTCCATAAGGTAGTCTTATCTCCGAAAGGAAAGTGGGCCTATCTCCTCAAAGCCTCAATTTTCAGTACCATGGGCCCTCAGAACTCACTCCCGCAAGCCCTTGAGACTAGTTCCCAGAGGCCCTCAGAACTCACCCCACAAAGCCTCTGACTCCCTTCCACTGCTGCCACATAGAATCCCTACAGACTAGAAGCAGGCTATTCTGCCCATCGAGTCCACACTGACCCTTTAAAGGGCATGCCACCCAGGCCCACCCCATATTTATCCACGTTGGCTACACATCCCTGGACATTATGGACAATTTAGCATTGCCAATCCACCTAGCCTGCACATCTTTGGACTGTGGAAAGAAATCAGAGCACCCGGAGGAAACCCACGCAGACACGGGGAGAATGTGCAAACTCCACACAGACAGTCGCCCCAGGACAGAATTGAACCCAGGTTCTTGGCACTATGAGACAGCAGTGCTAACCACTGAGCTATCATGCTGCTCTAAATAGAGGTTAGCAAGAGCAGGGACAATGGTTGACAGGACTTGGTGCAAGTTCGGTTGCAGATAGCAGACTTTTGTAAGTTTTGGATTGTGCAGGGTTGGAGTTTAGCCTGAGAAACACCAGAATAGTTATGTCCAGAGGTACCAAATGCATTGAGGTTTTCAGCAGCCAGTGGTGATGTTGCAGAGGTACCATTTCTGAAGAAGGGTCCTGACCTGAAACGTCAGCTTTCCTGCTCCTCTGATGCTGCCTGGCCTGCTGTGTCCCTCCAGCTCCACACTGTGTTATCTCTGACTCCAGTATCGGCAGTTCTTACTATCTCTGATTTAATTACTATTAATTTGGTTTAATTGTCCCACAAAATCATTTCGGGTTACAGTTGTTAATTTTGGTTTCTACCTAGAAACTCTCCAGTTTTGTCTCAATCTTATTCTGTTCCTTGCCAGCTCACTCAGCTGCAGTACCAGCCTTGGCTTTTGACTTACTTTAGCAGACTCCAAATCCATTCCACCCTTGAAATATTTGATCATCCTCATCTTTCTTTGTATCCTTCCATTAAACCTGGGTATCACTGTCAAAGCTAATATTAATTATCCATCCTAATTGCCCTGAAGCTGAGTTGGACTATTTCCAAGGGTATTTAAGGGTCAGCCATATTGCCGTGGCTCTGGAGTCACATGTAGGCCACACTGGCTAAGGACAGCAGATTTCCTTCACTAAAAGACATTAGTGAACCTGATGGGTTTTTACAACAATTGCTGATAGTTTCGTAGTCACCATTACCAAAACTAGCTTTCCAATTCCAGGGATGTATTTGTGATTGGAATGTCAATTCTACCAAATGCCAATGGTGGGCTTTGAACCCATGCCCCCAAAGTTTTAGCCTGGGTATTTCTGGATTACTGGCCCATTGACATTACAATAATGCCAGTTTCCCCCATGCCAAGTCTTGCTGAAAGCCTCATCGATGGCTGTATTGCCACCAAGTTCAGTGCTTCAATTGCTTTCTTCACCCTTAGCATTCACCCCCCTCAACCTCACTAATGTCTCGCAAACTTCCAGAGCGCTAGTTTCGAAATTATTGTCCTTCTGTACAAATCCCACCATCCCCCATCCCTCCAGACCTTTCCTATATCTCCTCAACCCCTTACACATTACTCTCTCTGCTTCCTCCTCAAGCTAGTCAGCCACTCACGCTGTCTGCAAGTTTGAGCTGTCAGAATTCCTTGGTGTCAATCTCCCCAGTTATGGCCAAAGACCCAAAATGTTCTAACCCGTCCTTAATCTTTACATCTGACGCCAGACCTGTGTCGCATTTCCAGCATTTTACTTTATGCACAATTCTAATGTCTTTAGGCAACTGTTCTATTTCCCCAAGGATGCAGCAATGAAGGAATCCAACTGCTGTCTTCACACAGAAATACTTGTCTGATATGGAGATTTCTTGTCCTGTCCTTATGTAATTGTTCTGACTTTTTCCTTGCTTCTCTCTGTCTCTGTCTGTCTCTTCCCCCCACTTTTACTCACTTTCCCTCTCCCACCTTGTCTTCTCTCTCGCTGTCTGTCTCTCAACCTCTGTCTCTCTTTTTCAATGCATCCTTCTATCTCTCTCCCTCTGTCTCTCTCACTCTGTTTCTCTCTTTTACTGTTTGACCCTGTCTCACTTTCTGTCTGTTTCCTTCCCTCTACATTTGCCTGTGTCGCTCTCCCTCTGCCTTTCACTCTCACTCTCAATGTTTCTCTGTCTCCCACTGTCTGTTTCTCTCTGTCTTTGTTTCTCTCAATCCATCCGTTTTTATCTCCCTTTGTATCTCTCTCTCTCTTTGATTCCAGCTGTCTTTCTATGTCTTCCCTATTTTTTCACTACCTCCTTCACTCCAATGTGTGTAGGGAGAGGTCGTAGTGAGTGTGTGTGCATGTGTGCGTGTCCTATCAAACATACAGACACCTCCCCCTCAGCACTGACTGCATCCAAATACAAAGTACAGCTCAGGACTATTGAGCTGATTCCTAACTATTTTCAAGCACTGTAACAATAATAGTAAACTTTGGTAAATCAGGAATTTATTTCCTTGTGGGAATAATGATTGTCTACTTCAAAAGATGAAATAATTTTCCGACTCCACAGGTAGCATAACTGAATGAGGAATTAATTACATTAAAGCGGTATTGACAATTCTAAACTTAGCCAGAAACATGGTAACATCTTTATAGCTTCAAGCAGTAAGATGTGTTTTGGACGAAACATACAGACTGGCTGATGAAACATTGACTGGTTAAGTTGTCAACTTAAAGCCATTCTAGCTGTCGGCAGCGGCACCTCCTGCCACCCTCAACACACACACACACACACACACGCACTCATGCTACCTCATTTCCACCACCCAGCCACTCCTGTGGACCTTCATGCTTTCCCACATTTCAAAGCTTCCCCCTCCATCCACCTCCATAGCCCCATGCCAACTCAGTGCAAACTTATGCCAACCCATGGACCACCACCCTTTGGATTTAAGCCGACCTCACCTAGTAACCATCTCAGGCAGATCTCAGGACCCATGCAAACACTAGATGACATAAAGCTCTACACAGTAAAGTTTGAGATATTTATTACATACTTCACCATTGGTTAAAAACAAAGCACTCTCATTCATAAAAACCATTTATCACATTTATATTCCACAATGAAATAAAGCATCATGACAACAAATGTTTCATTCAAATGCACAATCCCTTATAACAATAGGTACTGGAATTCATAGTCCTACATCAAAGAGGCTTGTAATCACTTGTAATTGTCAATCAACCTTTGAAATGGTAGGCACCCGACTGTGATAATGGATGATTGTGAAATCAGTCATACATTAGTAATTGCTAATCAAAGTGGTCAGGCGTATGTCAGCAGATAAAGTAAAACAGCAAGCAATGATTTTTTTTTGAAAAAAACACTGCAGATATTATCTCAAAAATTTAAAGAGCAGGAATTTTGCCTTGATGTCTGGATAACTTTCTTTGATAGTTGATTTTGAGAGACTCAATAATTTGTGCATTTTTCACATGAATTTATGCTTATTTCTAGTCCCAAAGAATGGTCGACCTGGCTTTTGATACAGTACCGCATGGCAAATTGGTCAAGAAAGTAAATGTCCATGGGATCCAAGGCACGTTTGTTCAAAGCTGGCTGAGAGGCAAGAAGTAGAGGTGATGGTGGAGGGATGTTTCTGTGACTGGAAGTCTGATTCCAGTCTATAGCTCTCAGTTCTCAGTACATTAATGATTTGGACTTAAATGTAGGGATATGATCAAGAGGATGACATATAAATTGGTCAGGTGGTAAATAGTTACAAGTGTGGTGGAATTATACAGTAGAAAATGCAATTTCCCAGACAATCTCTTTGCAGAGTATTACAATGGGGTTTCTACAAGACTTATTCCCTAATCCGGAGGCCACTTTATTGAGAAATGCAGCAATCTAAAATCTCCTATGAAATGGCCAATACCGATTCTGTGATTAACAGGGCTAGGCTCTGTACCTGGGGACTGTTGCTGAACAAAGAGATCTTGGGGTGCAGGTTCATAGTT